GTAAGGTTCAACTCATGAAAACTGGGAGGGGGGGGGGGCGCACACATATGCACATATTTTATTTAGTCTCTAAGGTGCAAATCTACCCCACCTTCTTACCTGATCTGCCAGGAAAGCTGGACCAGCCAACCTGCTGAATATTTACACCAGCAAGAAAATCTTTTCATGCCTGAGGTTCCCCACTCAAATTAAGCTATGCTGGCAAAAAAAGGTTGTTTTGCAGATAAGACAAGACTGCACCTTTACTTGTGCGTCTGTCAGTACAGCTATACTGGGGGTGAAAACAAAACACTCACCCCCTTAACTGACAAAACTATTCCTTCCACTACTCTTAAGGAGCTGACTTAACTCTATAAAAGAAACTAGTCTCATGTCCCAGCACCACCTCTCTAAGTTGCTGAGTGTGCCTAGGCATTGCAAGGATGATGAACCATTATCTAGGATTCTCTGAAATACTGGACAAAGTCAGTGCTGACTTTCTACTGCAGCGGGTGCAATGCTTCTCCAGAAGCAGCAAGCTTTGGAGTAACCAACATGTAGCAGTTCTTAGCTGGGACTATGTACATAAGCCTGATCTGCAGCCTTTCCAGGGATAGCCACCCTTGTGCAGTCCCCAATCTGCTGTTCTAGCAAGCGTAACCTCCTTGTGAGCAGAAAACTCCAATAGAAATAGCATCTGGTCAGGCAATTCAATATGATAATTAGGCCTGTGCGAAGCGGCTAGTATTTGCTTCAGATTCAGATTCGGCCAATTTGGGAGACAGTGATTCGATTCGGTGATTCAAATCACTGTCCCGATTCGATTCAGCCGAATCTGACTCGGAGATTCGGCTGCTGATGAATCTCCGAATCTCTGAATCAGCCAGGCCCATCCCTCGCCCGCTCTCCCAGCCCGGCAATGGCTGCCACGGCTGGCCCCAGCTCCCAGCGTTTTAAAGAAAAGCCCCAGTGCTCACCAGGTGCTGCTGGGTGGGGGTGGAGCGATCCCTGCTGCCCCCCACTGGCCCACACTGTGTGGGAGGCTCTGCATGAGCCCCCCATTGCTCCCCCATGGGTGTCCTGCCCACACCAGCTCCGGCCCTTTAAAGGAAAAAAAAAAAAAGAGACACGGCTGGCCCCAGCTCCCAGCGTTTTAAAGAAAAGCCCCAGTGCTCACCAGGTGCTGCTGGGTGGGGGTGGAGCGATCCCTGCTGCCCCCCACTGGCCCACACTGTGTGGGAGGCTCTGCATGAGCCCCCCATTGCTCCCCCATGGGTGTCCTGCCCACACCAGCTCCGGCCCTTTAAAGGAAAAAAAAAAAAAGAGAAAAACCCCCAGACTTACCGT